TTGGCTTTAGAAAAGCTCATAACTTTTTTCAGAACAATGCGTCGCAGATATAAAGGGTATATCTGAAATCAGCGTTTTAAGCTGTATCCATTGGTATAAATCTCCTTCTGAACCGCCACTCGACTAAGTGAACTTCCCTTGTGAGTATTGAGTCGGCCCGAAAGTCGGTCCGTTTGGCCATTTATCAGACCCATGCTCAAACCACTCAGAATAAAGATAGGCAAAGGCCGTAAGTATTGACTGATGCAGAATGTCTTTCTCTTTCTAACGGTTAGGTTTTTGTTTAGATTCCCTTGATGTCCGCTCAATAACTGGTAGGGATCCAAATTCAAATGTTTACCCATGTTGAGTTTGTCTTTCTCTTCAAAGGTTCCATTTACAACTTTTAGACTAACTTTGATAACAGTTTGATAGAATGACAGAATGCAACACAACAAATTATTTTGGCTTTATTAACTAACTTTTCAGTATTTTTTAGAACAATTTTTCCAAATTCACTTTTGCGAAGTCGTGAAATACGCAACCGCTTTAAATACGTTTGGATCTTCAGAGTTCAAGGCTTCCAAAAACAGTGCAATCCCGACCGCATAGCATGCCTTCCTTACCGAAAAAATTGCTCTCAAACTTACACATGCAAGCCAATCATACATGCGCTCGGACAAGTTGGCAATCCCCAATCTCACCATTAAAAGCTGCCCGCCGCTATGCTTAACCATTGGGTCCTGCAACGATTCATCGTCTCCAGCCTTGCCACACTCGCCCAATTTGAAAGCGAAGGGCATGGAAAAATGCTCGTTTTTGCCATTTTCAAACTCTCTAGAGTGCGTTTTTGAGGTGCGCAACCCCAAGTAAGCGAGAATTTTACTAGGTTAAGGATTTGCCGAGCCACTGCTTTTAACGCCGGTTTGGCAAGCAATTGAGCGTTTAGCGATTCGGAATTTTAGACTCCAAATTTTCTGATTACAGCCTGGGACAACCCTGGAAAGAATATTCACAGTGATTTTATCTTCAATATCATACAAATCAGGAAGAAAAGAATTCTATCAGAATGAGGAGAAAAAGCTGCATCGAATGACACTCTCGTTGCTCGTCTTTTATCGTTCTGTAAGAATTGGAATGCCCAAATATGGAATTTGATAGCATCAGAAAATTTTTTTTCAAAGTTCTGAGAAGCCGGCTAGAGATGTCAAACGACTGTATTGTAATGTGTTTTGTTTATTCTTACTTAGATACTCAAATGGCCCGTTCTCACGTGACGTGCGGGCCCCAGTACAGAAGGTGCTATTGATCCCTGTCCCTCGCTTCGGACATCCACGATCTTCTTGGTCGTCGTCGGTGGCTGCGTCCACGAGTTCCAGGGGCGAAAATCGTATCCAGCTGATTTCTCAGCTGGTCCATCCGTTCCACGAACACGTCTGCCCATCTCGTTGGTGGTCTTCCTCGAGGACGTTTGGCTTCGCGAGGAATCCACTCAGATGTTCTTAGTGTCCATCTATCGTCCGTTCTTCTCATTATGTGACCGGCTCATCGATGTTTCGTTTCGCAACGTATTCCGCTGGGTCACGAAGACGGGACATTCTTCTCATATCCGTGCTGCGAAGTCCGACTAGATGTTGCTTGTGTCGGGTCGTCTTCGGAAGACTGCGCTCGAGCGCTCTGTGGGTGGTCCTTAAAGCTTTCGACGTGGCTACGGTGTCGGCCCAAGTCTCAGCTGCGTAGCAGAGCGCTGGGAGAACGGTCGAGTCGAACAGGTGGGCACGAAGCTCCGGGTCCGTCAGTTGGTCGGTGGCTTCCTTCAGAGGCCCGAAGGCAACCCAGGCTGCTCTTCTTCACCTGTTAAGTTCTTCCCTCAAGTCGTTCTCCATGTTCATCGAACGTCCGAGATACACGTAAGAAGACGTCTCCATAATAGGGGTGCCTTCCAATTCCATTTCTGCATCTTCGCAAAGGGCGTTCTTCATGAACTGAGTCTTCTTCCGATTTACTCGCAGTCCGATCTTCTTCCCTACTTCGTTTAGTTCCTTCAGCATCGCCTCTGCTTCAGTGATACTGCTCGAGAAAAGGACGATGTCATCCGCAAAACGAAGGCTAAATAGGAATCTTCCATCAACTCGTATGCCTCTCTCTTCCCAGTCTAGTGACTTCATCACCCACTGCAAGGCCGCAGCGAACAGCTTCGGCGAAATAGTGTCGCCTTGTCGAACCCCCTTCCCAATTGGAATGGTTAGGGGGCGATGGAATAGCTGCATCGTTGTTGTGCAGTCCTTGTAGCAGTCGGCTAGTGTCCTCACGTAAGCTGGTTCCACTCCTTGATCGACTAGCGCAGACAGGATGGCGTTGGTTTCGACGCTGTCAAAAGCTTTCTCGTAGTCGACGAAGGTTAGGACGAGAGGCAGTCGGTACTCCCGGCAGACTTCTATGACCCTCGAAACCGTCTGGATGTGGTCCATGCAGCTGAATCCTTTGCGAAATCCAGCTTGTTCTTGGGGTTGGGCTTCATCCAGTGTCCTAGATATGCGTGCGAGGATAATCTTCGTGAAGAGCTTGTACAGCACACCCAGCAGGCATATTGGACAGTAATTTCGAAGATCTTCCCGTTCACCCTTCTTAAAAAGAAGGACGGTTCTTGACGTTCTCCACTGGTTGGGAATCCTCTCCTTCCGAAGGTAAGATGTCAGGTGCGACGCGAGAAGCTCGTGTAGACGTTGTCCTCCGGCTCGCAGAGATTCGACGGAAAGATGGTCTGGTCCTGGAGCCGTGGACGTCTTCATGGTCTGAATCGCCGTGCGCACTTCAGCAGGTAGAATTCGTGGTGGTACTTCTCCAGTGGGAACAACGGGCATCGGCACGGGTGTTGATGAGCGAAAGAGGTTGGTATAGAAGTTCTTCGCGATAAATTCCATCTTGTATCGGGAAGAAGTCGGAGTCCCGTCTTCGTTCAATGCAGCCAGCGGTACGTGATATTCACAGAGGTCCCTTCGGCATTTCTTATGACTTCGTCTTCCTCCGGCTGCTTCCAGTATCTTGGCTTGCCTGTACTTCCCGAGATCCTCCTGCATAGCTGTTCTGCAACTGGTGTTGGCTATCAGTCGCTCGAGATGGGTTGCATTCGGATCCTGCCTCAGAAATCTTCTTCTTTCGAGCAATTCCTTGGTGGTCTTCGAAATACGTTCCAAGTTCTTCTCAGAAGTCACTGAGGCACATTCTCCGCAGGCTCGCAATCCTTTCAGAAGCCGGTCATAGTCGTACGTCGGGTCCTCCTCGATGGGCCAGTCACATCTTGACATGAGCTCCTCCAGCCTGTTCCCGTCATAAACGACTTCCTTCCTTCTCGCGGCACTGTGACAGACTCTCTTTTCCAGCCTTCGGCTAAGTCGTATCTTCGCTCGAAGGAGGCGGTGATCGGAGCCACTGCAGAAGGATGGAACTACTGAGACATAGAGCAAGCTCCACCTTCGGTTGGTGAGAATGTGGTCGATCTCCGCGTGAGTCGTTCCGTTGGGCGATTCCCATGTCCACCGGAGATGTTCTTTCTTCATGAAGATGGAATTTCCATGGAAGAGTCGTGCGGCGGAGAAAAGCCCAGCGAGACGGTTGCCGTTTTCGTTCCTGAGCCCATATCCAAACTTCCCGATCCTATATTCCTTTTCTAGTGGCAACCCGATTTTCGCATTGAAGTCGCCCACAACATACTTGTAGAAGGACTTTTCGTTGCGGACGACCTCCTCCACGTCGTCGTAAAAAGCATCTAGTACTGAGTCGTCAGCTGCTGTCGTTGAAGTAGCAGTTGATGATGCTGATGGTCTTCTGACGTGGAGGGCGTAGTCGTAGGATGGCTAGTCGGGGTGGTAGGATCTCGTGGGAATCGACAAGTTGGACGATAGATGGGTGGACGACAAAGCCGACGCCTCCCACGTTTCGTGATGGAACCTTTTTATTTACCGCGAATGATGAGGGTCCCATCACTCATCTGTCGCGAATCCTTCTTCCTGGACTTCGTTTCCTGCAGAGCGATGATGTGGTACTTGATGTGCTCTGCAGCGTCGAGAAGAGCGTGGAGGTCGGCGTTTGTGGAGACTGTCCTGGCGTTGTAGGTGCAGAGCATGAGGCAGTCTCCGTGGCGTGTCGTCCGGGCAGACGTGTCGTTTTTGTCCAATCCAAAAGGCCCCCTGAGGACCCTGACATCAGTCTTGCTACCACCCGGCGCCGTAGGCGGGATCCGATGTGCAGGGTTTCTTTCTATTCTTCTAACTGGTAGAGTAATGAAATTTTTCCCCTACAAGAGCAGACTTACTAGGCCAACTCTTGATTTCCACGGGGCGATCGCTGACCCCGGGCTTGGAGCGTGGAGAACCGCCTAGCGACCTGAAAACCAGACGGCGGTGGATCTGGCCTGGCCGGCTCTTAGCTGGGCATCCGGCCGAAACCGGAAACGTCGAACTCCTTCACAGCTTGGGAGGCCCTGCCAGAGTATACACTCGGCTGTGCATCGCAGTTCGACACCCAGTGTCACCCCCACGCCACGATGAGGCGGCCGACCATTGTGGGGGTTGTTTATTCTACCCAAGTTTTTTTTGTTTTTGTTTTTTTGTTTATTCTATCTATCTTTGTTTATTCTATCTATCTTAAGCTAGTCCAAAAGTTGAGAATGAAAATTCGAAAAATAGCCAAATTCAAGATTGGTGAAAATTATGGGTTGGGATCTCTACCGATTATTAAGCTGACATCATAGAAATCTGAACAAAAACATAAAAGAGGAAGACACACACAGACAAGACACAAGACAAGACACAGAATGACACGAACTTTTGGAACGACATAATATTAGTGAGAGATCAGTGGGAAAACGAAAAAATTCGGAGCGGCCTGAGAATTCTGAAAAAGTATTAATTCAACTATTAGTATTAGTTCAATTATATACTATATTTGTTCGTTCAATTATCGTAAGTTTTTACGGAAAATGTTCGTAAGGTAGTTGACTTTTTTTTTACAAAGCTCACCATGTAAACGCCGCTGGTATAGTACATGAAATCCGTGTATACTCTAAAGGCGGCTTGAACGGGCCCGTTTGCCATTATCTCCTTTTGTATAGCCGTTTCGTTCTCATTAACCCAATAGGAGCTAGATGCTATCGTTATATGCGTTAGATAACAAATTTGAAAAGTTTGTGGTCTTTGTTACCGTAGATCTTGTCCCCTTCGTAGTCTTTTCTATAGCGGAATTGACATCGGGCACGGCAAGCTGGTGTCTTTGCATCATCTGGGCACTCACCGTAGTAAGGTTGATCTTTGTGCTTACCGCAAGGATGGAACTCGTTCGGCTTGCAGCAATCCTAAACCAGCAGTGGAATTCAAGAGTAAGCACAAAACTTGCTCACAGTCGCTTTATATGGACCGCCAGAGCAGACTCCTTTATTTTTTGCGTATGTCCAGGCCGACAGCACAAATCCCCCATAACATCTGAAAAGCTGGCATATTTACATAAAATTTTTGGATGTGTAAATACTGTGCAGGTACACTGCAAGGCAAAATTTGAATGTAAGGCAGTAACAATTCACTGAATTCATACCCCTGATGACTCCAAGCAAAAAAGCGACTAATCTTTACAGAAATTATTATTAGGGTCGAGCAAGAAGTGTGGCATACAGCCGCCGAGTACGATAAGTCCGCCCTCCCGCTAAGTTTTGCCTCAATACACTCCCCCTCCCCCACCCGGCATTATCGCCTATCGTAGGCGAGACATAAAGGCTCTATCAAGCATAATTTGTAACATTTCCGTAATTATCACGTCAAATAATCCCTGTCCAAGTTTTAGCGAATTCTGAGGGTTTCCATTATTGAACCACCCAAGTTCATTCCCAGACATGGTTAACTATATTTCAAAAGTGAATTAGCTACTTTTCTTTCTACTTAACACAAACCACTTCTCCCTGTTTGTCCATAACATATATTGGTAAACAAGCTTCAAGTAAACACCAACGATGAAATTAGGAGCCAACCAAACTTTCATCCCATTTTTTGCTAATAGTGGCTGTATTTCTGGCAACTACTGCTCAAATAAGTAAAAACAAGTTTACCTCTAATTATTTCATTATTACTTCTCTAATTATTACTCTATTCCATAAAAACTACGAGGTTTTATGTATCAAAATATACAGAGCGTCCCAAAAAAATGTGCACATTGTTTGATCGTTAATAACTCTCTTGCTTTCATGTCTTTTGCCGAGCTTGAGGTACCATTCTTTAGAGCGAGGATAAACTTAGATTTACAGTATGAAGCAAATCACCAATCACTCTTCTTTACTGTAGGATCACGGTATGAACTTTCAGCATACAGCGCCACTGTGGAATAGGCCTTTTGATGGAATAATTTCAAAAAATCTAAAAATCTGTGTAGCAAGGTTTTCAGGCGTGCAGATTTCACTACATAATTTTCCACCAGTTTTTCGAGCTTTCTTGATGGCGTATTCACATTTCTGACAAACAGTGGAAAGTCAGTTGTTACCCTAAATCTGAAATAACTCGTGAAGGAAACTGCGTACTGAAGTGCAATTTTCATATTTGGAATCAGCAAGTTCGAGTAATTCGTTTAAGAATTTCTGGCTTGTTTAGCTTTCTTTCTGAGGCAAAATACCGCTTTCAATGGCCTAAAATCCTCCTCGAAAGTCCTACCGTAATCCTACAGTAATGAAGAGCTGCTGATAAGTCGCCCCATATCTGTAAATCTAAGTTGACCCTCGCCTTAAAGAATGGTACCTCAAGCTCGGCAAAGGACATAAAAGCAAGAAAGTTATTAACACAAACAGTGTGCACATTTTTTTGGGACACCCTGTATATATATATATATTAGTGGCGGTCCGGCCCCCCAACCCTCCCCGAGAATGGGTCGCGAAATTTTTGAAAGTTACTTATATGGGTTATAAAATTGTGCAAGTGATTTATTTATACTTGTGAATGATCAAAATAATTTTTGAAATATTTTAAAAATTCAAATTAGCCCTGTAAACCCCTTTTTCTAATATTTTTTGGTCATGGAACCACGGAAATTTTGGGAACATCAAAATTTTTTTCGGAGTGCATGGTTAACATGCGCGGCCACGCACCTTCAATTAGAAAAAATTTTTGCAATTTTTTTTTCAGATTTTCTTCCTCTTTTTAAATGTCATATTGCTGTTTCACTTGCTCTTGTGGTCAGTGAGATAATGGCCGAAATTTTGAACCCATGGTTTTTACCATGTCCAACATTGGCAAATTTTCAAAATCTTCTTTTTTTGACTTTTGGAAAAGTTTTGATAGCAGTCAAATAGAGTAAACGAAGTGCAATTTTATGCAATTTTTCGGCAATTTCAACTGACTCTCAGTATTTTTTGAGATAACTCTTCCAGAAGTCTTCACTTTTTCGAAGTCACAAAACACACGAACGCTCCAAACATTTATAAATCTTCAGATTTGACACTTTCAAAAGTCGTTTATGATTGTCCAGTATTTTTACAAAATAGCTGAGTGTGTACCGCTTCGAAATATAAGATTTCGCATTTTACGTGTACACCCTTAGGCGGGTTCAAAATCAAGAATCATGGAAATTTTGTGGCCAAAATCCCACAAATTGGAAAAACACTCATTAGAAAGAGGAGAAAGAGCTGCATCAGAAGACACCTTAATCGTGCGCCGTTTCATGTTCTATGGCTCTTGGCATCGCTAAAAATGGAATTTGATAGCATCAGAAAAATAATTTTAAAAAAATTTCAAGGCTAGCTACGTATGTCTAGCTTCATTCCACGTGTTTTTATGATAGGTTGAAAAAAAGGAAAGAACTTTCGGAACGACCTAGTATATTAGGTTGTCGGATAATTTCTGTCACACTTTTTATTTCAATTCTTAAAAATCTCAAAAGCTTTGGAAAGATCTCATGTTCACAGCGTATGAGCAGAGTGAAAAGCCTGTACAAGGGTAGGGCCGCATCCGCAATCCGTGCGCAAAACACCCACTTTGTGGCTGAAAATCCGTTTTTTCCCATTTTTGTAAATGAGCTGGCGTTTTCTCAGGTGATGAGCGATAGTCCGGACAATGTGGTAATCAGATAGTGCATAGTCTGTAGCGTTTAGCTAATATGGGAGGATAACGCAGACATGTCTGCACACGTTTTTCTGAGCGGATGAAGTTTCAGTGTGCGCCATCTTTGGGATTCCCGGAATTTTAACGAAGAAAACGTCTTCAAAAACTTTAAAAAATCGTTTTTATGTTTTCTGTATTCATTTCTATACGAAGCACATAAAAAGAAAAATTTAGGAAAGTTTTGAATTTTTTGATATTTTTTCAACTCTCGTTTTTGAAAAGCTGGAGGCACCGGAATGCCTTCATGTAAGAGACAATGCCAAAATACGTTTTAAAAAAAATTCTGAAAGGGAAAAGCGCAAGTAGGTGCAGAGAAAAAGATCAGAAGAAAACTGGAAAACTTGACTGCTTTTACAAAACTGCCGTAAACTATGGTCATTAGTGCACTTGCGGCATCAATTATACTGGTGGGTAGAACCTGCTATGTCCTAAGCATCTTGCAAATTTGGGATTTTCAAAAAGCTTCTGGTTCCTAGAAATTCTAGAAAAAAGTGTAACAGAAATTATCCGACAACCTAATATACATCAGTGGCGGTCCCAGTTTCCGTCCAGGAGGGGGGGGGGGCAAAAAAATTTTTTAAATGAAGATGCGTAGCGTCACCCACGCATTCCGAAAGATTTTTAGGGGTGCTTCACGAAATCTTTGAGAGTCCCCAACCCCTAAAAGCCCCGAAAAAAATTTTATAAGGCTATTTTACTAAAAAAAACGAGTCACTTGCACATTTTACAACCCACGTTAGTAAATTTCAAAAATTTCGCGGGGCAAGCCCCACCCCTTCTCCGTCTCGTCCCTCGGTTCGCCATTGACCTGTTTTCGTGTACTCTAGAATATTGTCAGTGTCCCTTTCAGTACAGATGCGATTATGCAGCGGCTGCCTGGAACACATGAAGTGTGTTTGAACAGAAATAAAGAAGAGAAAATGAACGAGCACTATGAAGACTCCTATTCCCGTATATTAGGTTGCTGCGTAAGTTCTGTCCGATTCGAATTTTCTGAGTTCAAAATGTCAATCTTTCAATGTCAACCCAATCTTGCGAAAATCCTTGTTAAGGAAGAAGCAAGAACTTAAAAACTTCACAGCGTTTTTCTTCAAACCTGTCTTATTCGATATGGCAACACTCCCTTACGAGAACTGATTCTTATCTAAAATGGATAAATAGAGAGATTTTCGTAGATTATTTTGCAATATAAAAGAGCCCATAGGGTCTGCGTTGCCGAGAGATCCTTTCGATCAAGCAAAAAAGAGGCCACTTTTGACCTTGCTTGAGCCCATGTGTGCATGCCTATTTACAGACTATGAAAATTTTACAATTGACGTGAGCGCCGAAAGGGAATTGGTGGATAAGCCCTGCTAGCTTTTGCTTTACCCTAGCACCTCCAACTTTGAACTCATCAATTACTTCTATACACAGAAAGTTATTGCTTGTAAAGCTTCTATGCAAAAGATTAATGTTCGAAAATAATTTTTACTAACAAGACTTTCTTCGTGGAACTGAGCCTCTGCATATGTTAGCCTTTTACACCTTTATTCCGAAACCAGTTAAAGAACTTAACTTGAGTACCTTGGCCACTTGAAGATTGTGGGCCTGAAATCTCCTCACACTAACGAGGAAAAGATACTCGGTCAACGTGGCAATTTGGAATGCGATGTATACTGTAACATGCACCTCGAAACGCTGATTCCAGATCTGTGCTCGATATCTGCGAAACGATCTCCTAAGGGAAGTTATGAACCTTTTTTCGTAGAAAATTTGCGTTCTGTGTAGTTCAAAACACCAAATTTGTTCCAAGTTACCATTTGAAACTATTGGAGAGAATCTCAAAAGAAGTACTATTGTTTTTACCTATTTAATCAATATTCAGCACTTAAAAAAGAAAGAATTTTTATTGATGATTTTGACCATCCTCAATAACGCAGTTTATTCATGGAAAAATAATCATAACCTCATCCAGATTATCATTTCGTAGATAGCAGTATTCGAACCAGCATTAAAAGGCTCATTTTTTGATATATATAAATTATTATGAATGGCCGCGGGGCCAAGTATCCTTCATATATCATATCCTTAGTATTCTTTGTTAGGGTACTCGGAAAAACTCATATTACTCCTCCAGTTAGAAGAATAGAAAGAAACTCTGCACATCGTATCCCGCCTACGGCGCCGGGTGGCAGCAAGAATGATGTCAGGGTACTCAGGGCGCCTTTCGGCTTGGACAAAAACGACACGCTTGCCCGGACGACACGCCATGGAGACTGCCTCATGCTCTGCACGTACAACGCCAGGACAGTCTCCTCAAACGCCAACCTCCACGCTCTTCTCGACGCTGCAGAGCACATCAAGTA